TTCCCCAGCCCTCTCTCTGATCATGGGTTATTGGCATCTCTCTCTCTCTCTCTACCTGATCATGAATCTCTCCCGCCCCCTCTTTTCTGCCTCCCACATCAGTGTGTAGGGTTTTTAGGTCTGCTGCTGAGAGGCAGCTACCCACCATTGGTGTATATTGATCCATTAGGTGTTACCTTACATTGTGCTCTTTTTGTGTCTCCCTTGCAAAAGTGGAGTTTGGTTCATGGGCTTCGACTATTGTTAAACCTTGGGCTCGAGTCAACTTACCTCTGTACCATGGTGAATCCCGTGCCAATACCATGGGATTCGATCGAGTTTTTACAGTTTCTAGTCCCTGTAGTGCTTTTCCTGGCTGGATCAGGATGGGACTTCCTGCGTTTGTCGAGTCCTGACCTCGGTCAGTGCTTTAAAACGCTGGTTTCGACATTTGAAAGACAAAGGAAACGATAAAGAGAGAGAAAGCGTATGTTTGTGTATATGTGTAGGGTGTTTATTAAGAATAGATTTTATAAATTTAGAGAGTAGAATTTGCAAGTTACTGCATCTTAATAACAATGGCAGTTCTATCTTTCCTTGAAGAGTAGTGCATGATATTCTTTATATTTTTCAAGATTGGTGGTACAGGGATTTCTCAAAACCACTCTTCGTCTTGTAATCATGATCTTCATTCCCTTGTTATTGACCTTTTTCTCTCTTTTCATCAGATGCTGAGTTTGTTTACTTTGATGTGATTCCATTTCAACATGGATGATCTGTCTGAGTCCTAGATCGAAGAATCATTGCAAGACATACGCATTGAATGCACGAGGTCTGTAACCACATATACTGGTTATGGAGGCCATGTTCCTTAGAGACTTATATTAATAACCATAAATATCTGGAAAATGGCATCTTAATTGTGTTTGCGCATATAATTGTACATGTTTGGCACAGTTAAGTCAGTGAATATCATTCGATTGAGCAAAAGCTCCGAGGAGGACCCTAACATGACCATTACCACTGAAAACAATGATTCGCCAGGACCCAAACAAATATCCAACTCAGATGATGAAGAAATTGGATTCTGTAAATAGTGATTTACTAGGAGCCAAACAAGACTTGCTTCATGAATTGGAGAAATCCGACCCTGTAAATTGTGACATGCAAATGTCTGATAAGGACCCAATTAATGAAATAGTGATATCTAGGAGCCAAACAAGACTCGCTTCATGAATTGGAGAAATCAGAGCCTGTAAATTGTGATATGCAAATGTCTGATGACACAATTCATGAAATGGAAATATGGGAGCCTGGCTGTTCTGAGAATGTTGAAATTGTTGCTTCCATTGATGAGAAAAAACGGGACCTTGAGATGATTACAGATGATAAAGATGAACACTTATTAAAGAAGATGATAAAGAGCATGAATCTGGAATATCAAACACTGAACAAACGACTCAGGCAGGTGATGCTTCAGACCAGCTTCCATGCTCTCTCTCTCTCTACAATATAACAATGCCCAAGAACCTACATTCTCTCTTTCTCAACAAGATGGAGTTAGTGAGGAGTGGCAGAAGAAATGTGAAGCTCCTAGTTCTATGAATCTGGAAGATTTTGATATGGGCGGTGATGATCAAAAGACCATGATAAACCCAAGTTCTGATTTTGATGCCTTTGAGCCGGGTTGTATTCTTGTTGAGTAGTCGAGGAAAGAGGCTGCTTGCTTGGCTGCTCACTGCTTGCATGGCTGGCTTTATGGTGATCACAGGGTTGCAGTGGAGTATGTGGTTTACGATCTCTATGGAGCCGGGTTCCGGAGATGAGAAAGAAAGCTCATGTGATCTTATTTCTCGAATTTGGGTCTGGGAATGAGAGAAAGCTCCTATGATATTGTTCTCGAATTTGTTTCTGGGGATGAGAGAGAGGTAACTGAATCTCTCGAATTTGCAGTGGTTGTACTTTCTGGTTTCGCATCAATGTCTCAATGCCGGAAGAGGGAGAAACTTCTGATCTTTTTTGAGCTGGTTTCCTAGATCGGGAAGTCACTGAAAATTTCTCTAGCGTTCGGAGCCTGCACTCGGTGGCTGGCCTTTAATTGGTTAAAATATGCCCTTCCATTTTAGTTTCCTCAAATCAAGTTTACCTGTAATTTATTGAATACTTAAACAGAGGAGTTTTGAGGATTTCCTTCCTCTTAGGCCAGATTGGCAGTACTTGCAGAGGCTTGGGCATGGCTGGGTTTCCTGAGGTTATATCAAGGAGATTCAAGGAGAGGTTTTTTTTTTTTTGTTGAGAGAGAGCTTCAAGACGGCCTTGCAAATGATAGTAGGCTCAAGGTGTTAAGCTTCAAGAAGTAGATTCTTGAGGATGAGAATAACTTGGGTAAAAGAGCAGAGCTACTCATGAGGATTTTCTCATTCTGAAGTTTTGGGATCCACCACAGATCCTATTATTATTATTTGTATTTTACTTTTTAGAAGTGTTAATGGTGGGAATGGAGCCTAGGACATTGGATTTTCTCATTCTGAAGTTTTGGGATCCACCAGAGATCCTATTATTATTATTTTTATTTTATTTTTTATAAGTGTTAAATGTGGGCATGGAGCCTAGGACATTGTGTTGAGGTACCCTTCCGTCTGTTCAATCTTGGGACTTTTTCCAAGCTGGAGCATGTTTTTTAAATAAATTTTTTTTTGGTTGTTAGGTTAAAGACGTTACATCACAAAATTTAAGATCCAAAAAGAGACCTTTTTAACCTGGGGGAGCAAATAAATAGTATACATGGTATTTTTGGACTCAGGATTGCAAAAATGATTAGAACAAGGAAAGCCATGCAATATCGATTAAAAAGTAACTTTAAAATATTTAAAGGAAAATTTTTTATATGATTGTCTCATAGTATACCACCCCTATCCACTTATATTTGAGGTCATTTTCTGCCATTGTGTGTAATATATCTCAACCTGCTTAGATACTACTATTAAGGATCGAGTGTAAGATGACTTGTATGGTGCTCGTATCAAATATGATGAAGGCCTTAGTGTTCGTAGTGTTTAGCTATGTTCTCTTCTTACAACTGCTAAATGGAGTATCCGCCCTCATTCTTTTTTCGCATGTCCATAATCTATGGAATTCATGGCCACCATAAAAGTTTCAACGGCTCCTCCTAGAGGGCCCCTATCTCTTCTCTACCAAAACTTACGGCAACTCATTGCATGCTTGGGGCCTGTTTCATTATTGAAAGATAAATGATCCCTAGAAACTTAGAAGTTCTTCTTTCTTGGGAACTGGAATGTTATTTTTTTTTATAATGTTAAGCAAGTAGCTTGTGGAATTGAGGATCCTAAATATTGGGATCCCACTCAATATCATGTACATGATTGGTTAAATGTGAAGTAAATACATACAACTATAAATCGAGTGTAAGAAATAAATCAAAAATAAAAAAACACACTACTACATTATACGATTTACGTGGTTCACCCCGTAGGGCTACATCTACGTCTTCAGGGTATTTTTCGATACTTGTATCCTTGATGCGAATATGGAGGAAGCCACGCTCGCAGATGCCAAAGTGCTTGCGGACCATAGAAGCGTTGTCAAAATAAACCCCAATCTGGAGCAGATTTATGAAAGGCAATGGATGGTTCCCAAAAAGCAAGTGGAGGTAGCACTTGGCTCCCTAAGGACACCCCCAAGTTTCGTCGTGATTCGACGACGTTAAGGTGGATTACAGATAAAATCAGTTATCAGGTTTAGCTTCTAGCATGCTAAAAATGCACTTTATAACTACAATCATAGCAACGGAGCTTCAGATGAACACCATACTACTTCCATTAGCGAATTCAGAAGATCCGAAAACCCTTAGATATCAAATTTCAACTCATTCGGAGACTTTTGGTCCATTATGTGGCTAATTTACCTAAAAAAAGTGGGTTATGCACTCTTTTGGTACTCCTTCAGTGAAGCAGTTTTCAGTTTTCATTTATGGAAACTGTGTAATGTGATTTTGGGATCATCTTTGAAAGGTCATAACTTATTCATCTTAAACCGAATCAAGCTCAAATTTCAGGAGGATCTTCGTCTCGTCGTCACGCATGTTTTGATATGTGGCATGACCCATGACACGATTTGAGATGGAAGAAATCCTAGAGAGTAGCCGCTTAAGAAAACTCATGCTTTGCAGATTTTTGCAAAGAAGAGATCCCTTAGGTCAAACGGTCATATCATGAAGCCCCGACCTTGGATCGACTTGAAAGCAGGTCCGTTGCCCCCGTGACGCCGAGAGCTTCAACCCAAGTGAACATCATACGTGATGAGTGACTGAAAAGGCTGTATTTCAAGGTTACAAGAAAGGATTTTTTCCAGCAACCAGAATCCATATTCAGGTAAAATTCCCTAATTCCGAAAGTGACGGTCCGGTCATCAAATCGAGCCATTCTCGTTGCCAAACAATCGTGGCAACTTCCTCGTCATTCTTCGATACAAAGATCGAAGCAAAACGTCAAGAAATGAGCGAAATCTAAAATCTAAGAACACCAATTTATCTTCTTTTGCTGGATTTTGTTGAAAGCTCGAGACTTCGATTCGCGGATTAAAGAGCATATCAAAACGACCGTCTCGTCAAGATCATCAGTTTTTCGACATTCTTCTTGCCGAAAGGTCACTAGAAAGACCCGAAACGGGCCACGGACGACCACCATAGCCTATGGCCCCTTTTTAGGGACCATCTTGTCATTTTCGAGATTGTGGGTAAGGGTAAAATAGTCATTTTACCCCAAAAAAAATGATACAAATTTAATTTATAGAAAATATATATTTTTTTAAAGTTTTGAACGTCCACCCTTGCTTTCAAGGGAGTGCTATATAAGCATGTACTGGGTATAGTTAGAGAGACTGATGAGTAACCAGAGATCCTGAGTAAAAGATATTGTTCGGCCAAATGGGCATAAGGAAAGGCACGAGATGGACAATTCAAGTAAAGAAAATGGGAAATTAACAGGCGGCCCAAATGTTACCTGTAGGAGTCCAACTCAGAAGCAGAGAATGCTCTTTCCAAACGAGTGATTTGCACCATCACTGACTGAGTTATCTCACTTGACAAGTACCCTCCTGAATTTGAAAAGCTCTAGCAAAAAGTGCACCTCTAAAACAAACTGTTACCAAAATAAGATAGAATGAAAAATGATCAGTTTTGACAGAGAGTTAACCAAAATACCATAAGGCGTGATGAATTTGGAAACAAATTAACTAAAATGATAGAAGGCGATCACATGCACACATACACACACAAAAGATGAATATCTTCAATGAGTGAGCAGCATCAAATCTATCATCAATAAAGAAAATTCAGGCAACATACTAAAGCTTCAGAGACTTGCATACCTGTTTGAAGCCATAAGAACTCAATGTAACGGAGCCTACAAATTCCGACCAAATTTCATGATGATTAGAAACCCAAATCAGAAGGTTCTCCATCACCTTCCCTAATAACTTCTCCATCATCCCATCAATCCCTATTAATAGATCCACAGCAAGTTGCTCGAGTTCAGAAAGTTCAACGAAAAAGGCCTGATCATGAATTGCTAGTAAAAACATGAAAAACCACATGCTACTTGACAAACTTAAAAAGATATCAAAGCAACCATTTCTAGGACCCCAACAATTTTGTCAAAACTGGATAGCCACGTAGACTGCAGATATGTTGATGTAGTCATGACCATTCAAATCGCCAATAGGATAGCCATCTAGACCACACACACAATTTAAAGCCTATAGGATAGCCATCATGACCATCCAAACCGCCAAATAGGATAGTCATGAATCTCTCTACAAATCCTCTATCTGAGATCAACTTGCAGCCCTATAATGTTTCCTAGAGAAGCCAATACCGAAGAAATTGCTGAAAACCACAGCCTAGATGATTATTTCTCATGTTCTTGAACAGGAACAGGAGAAATGGACTCAAACTTGGAAAAAGTTTACATAAGGTTGCAACTTTAAATGTAGAATTACATATGCACCTCAAAAATCCATCGGAAAATGTTGTTTTAATGTTGACGAACCCTCTAATTGATCATCTTGACATTGAAATTAATGAATATGAAAAAAAAAAGGATTTTAAGTTCTAAAATTAGTTTATCTTGCGATACATTATCTAGACCGTTCATTTTCAAGATTTTCATATGTTTATAGATCCTACTTGATTTTAACTATTTTTGGAGTTTATAATTTTATAATTAGATATAAAAATATATTTTCATATAATCCTAAGAATTTTTAAGGAAAAAATGCAAAAATCCCCAAGACTATACTTTCTAAGCAACTTACCCTAATCTAACTTTTCTCTCACTTTTTTCCCCAAAATACACATCTACTCAAATACCCTCAACCAAAATAAAAATTAAAAAATGCCTAAACTACCCTCCCTTACTTTTACATTGCCAACGCCTCTCTCTACTCTATCCCACCAAAATAGGGGGCTCCGGCACTATATAAGTGCAATCCAGCAGTAAGGCTTAAACAATTCGGTAGTAAAGCTCCGACACTATATAAAGTGTAGTCTGGCAGTAGGGCTCCGGTACTGTGTAAAGTACGGTCTGGCAGTAGGGCTCTGGCACTGTGTAAAGTACGGTTTGGCAGTGTGTAAAGTGCGATCCGGCAGTAGCGCTTCGACACTATGTAAAGTACGGTTTGGCAGTGTGTAAAGTGCGGTCCGGAAGTAATGCTTTGACACTTTGTAAAGTGCGGTCCGGCAGTAACGCTTCGACACTGTGTAAAGTGCGGTCTGGCAATAACGCTCCGACACTATGTAAAGTGCGGTCCGACAGTAACGCTTCGGCACTGTGTAAAGTGTAGTTCGGCAAAGTGTAGTTCGGCAGTTGCAAAGGGCGGTCCGGTCCTGTTGCAAAGAGCGGTGGATTCCAGGGCTTTGGCACTAATCCAGGGCTTCGGCAATGTGTAAAGTGTAGTAGTTCGGCAGTTGCAAAGAGTGGTCCAGTGGTTACAAAGAGTGGTCCAGCAGTTGCAAAGAGTAGTCCAGCAGTTGCAAAGAGTGGTCCAGCAGAAGATGTTACTAGATTTCAGGGCGGATCCAAAAGTCATCGTCAAATCTGGCCAAAATGATTTTTATGTTTCCCTTGGAGGGTATTTGCACAGAAAGTTTGTTTTGGAGCAAAGAGTGGTCGAGAAGTTGCAAAGAGTGGTCTAGGAGAAGATGTTACTGGATTTCAGAGCGGAACCAAAAGTCATCGTCAAATCTGGCCAAAATGATTTTTGTGTTTCCCTTGAAGGGTATTTGCATAGAAAGTTTGTTTTGAAGAAAAAAGTAAGATAAAAAATTAGGTTGGGGTAAGTTGCATAGAAAGTGTGGTCTTAGAGGTTTTTTTTTTTTAATTTTCCCAATTTTTTACACCAAAATTATATGTTATGATAAAATTTGGAGGTACGTATAAATTGAATTGTTTAAAGTTTCACCATTATAGAAGCCCCTCTCCTCAAATTTTGGGGATGTATAACATCTTCAACCTATAGATTTCTCTCAATAAAAAAGAATGTCAAAATTGTACCTCTAGACACTTGAAACAAATAATGTCTCAAGATTGAATAGAGACCATCCAATTTTAAGATGGTGAGAATTAAGTGTTACAAAATCAAATTTCAATTTGTTTTAGAAAATCATTTGATAATTCTTTAGTGCTTTCCAAAATTTCAGATCCCAAAAGACCTTCCCAAGGAGGTCTTCTGTCCGAGGGATAAAAGTAAGCTATGCCCCCCGAGGGAGCGTAGTATATACGTGCTCTTGAAGTACGCAACAACCCCATTGTATGACTGCGGAACTTAGGCATAAATAATTGAAAATATTTAAAATGGATGGTTGTTATAAAATAAAATACTATTAGAACTTGAATTTTTTTTTCAATCCATACATCTCGATGATGTGATTATCAATTCGAGAGTTTCGTCCGTCAAAACAACATGGTCTAACGGGCTTTTGAGGTGCAACTTCCTTTTACTGTAAATAGTTGAACCGGATGCAATTTTTCTTCAATAGAACGAAAATACTTGACGAGACCAACTTCACCAAACTTGCTAAAAGATGTCAATTTTAAATAATCATAGTTCACTTTTAAAATCTTAGTAGATGATGCAGTTTTGGTGCCAAAAAAACCTTATGATGACATAAAAGTTTTTCACCTCTAATTATGAAGTTTAAAGCTCAAAAAATGGTGGAAACCAATCAGATCTATAAAAACCTAAAAAAATTAAAATGAATAATTTAAATAATAAATTACAAGATCTACTATTTTTAGATAATGGACTCTCTCTTTTTTGCATACCCATACATCCCAATGTGTGTATGATATGGTTACAACATTCACACCTTATAGAAGCTTTTCCCTTCGATAAATGATAAAATCATTTATGGATGCCATTAGTACGATGGATTACCACATTCAATATTCCGTGATAGACCGTGATTGACAGTTACGAAATTTGTGACGAGAGAGATTTTGGGGCAAAGAAAAAATTAAGTTATTCGAGATTTAAGCGTGAACTAGAGATAACTTTTTAGTCAAGAGAATTTTTTCACATGAAAATATTTTCAAAGAAGTATTTTTCACGAATACCGAACGTGCCCTCATGCAAAGTGATTTATGTGTCCACCAATGTATTAAACCAGTGGTTTAAAAAACAGATCAGTGCCCCGGATCAGGCACCTATCCAGATCGTTGAATCAACGTTTTAGATCGACAATCGATCTAATTTGGCTTTAAAAATTTTATTTAAAAAAATTATGAAAAATTATTATAAACGTTGTCTTTTAGGAATCCAATAAAAAATGGTACTACATTAATAAATTTTATTTTTTGCATCAATATGTGAAAGTAGGGAAATAAAGTAGCTCATAGGATATTTAATAAATAAATAAAAAAAAACACCTGGATTTACGTGGATGTAGTTACAATGGCAAATAAAGTATGGGAAAAAGAATTGACAAAAACAAACAAAAAAATAAAGCAGAAAATAAATAATAAAAAAACACTAGAATTTACGTGATTCATCACAATTGTGACTACATCCATAGGCGAAGACGATCGATGTTTTCCACTAAATTAAAAAAAAAAAATTACAAGGTAACTTACTTGAGAACCGAAGAGTCAATCTCCCACAAAGCCTTCGTCCCTACAATTTTCTTTCTCTGCAAAACCCCCAAAAATTTTCTTCTATTTTTATCTTTGCACTTTCTCTCTTACAACACAAACTTATTTGAGAACCGGAGAGTGAATCTCCCACAAAGCCTTTGTCTCTACAATTTTATCTCTCTGCAAAACCCCTAAAAATTTCCTTCTATTTTTATCTATGCACTTTTTCTCTCTAAAGAAAAATCCAAAGTGCACTTGGCCTATCTATGCACGTTTTCTCTCTAAAGAGAAATCCAAAGTGCATATGGCCTATCTGTGCACGTTTTCTCTCTAAAGAAAAATCCAAAGTGCACCTGGCCTACTTTTCCACACATGCTTTCTCTCTTTAGAAAAGCATCTTTTTATAGATAGAATAAAGCCCCAAATATAAGTACCGTCAAATCAGTCTAACCTTTTCTAACTTTATCAACAAGTAACTTTATCCCTGTCTATATGGACTCTGTCCGAGTTATCTATAAACTTAGATCCCAAATAATAGGATCTACCTAAATAAATAGGAAACTTCAATTAAAGGAAACGAATCCCTTCAATTCACGTCATGTGACATCAGCCTCGCAACTAATTTGTGACGTCATATAACATCTCGAGCAATACTCGATCCAGATCACCGATTCTTGATTGAATCGTCGATTTTTCAAACACTGCATAAAACATCCATCTTAATTATGGATCTAAAGTGGGGGGCCTTCCAATAAAATAAAATCCAAGGGTCCAAATTTTTTAATCAAAAAATTATCATTTTTAGTTTTCAAGTTTATTTAATTATGTATATTAGTGATCTCTACGTTAGATATTATATATTCAAAAAAACAAAGTCTAAAATTCATCTAAAAAATGGATTATGAAGAGAGGACACATATCACTGGGTGAATTAAATCGTCTCCTTTTATAAAGATACATATACTGTCTATGTTCGAGATTTCGGATCTTGAACAAGTGATAGCAGTTTTATCATTTAATTCTACTTAGGTTCTTGAGCTTAAACACGTAAAATGATTTTTCCCTTGAAATTACTTAGTTTGCATTCTAGAGTAAAAGACGGCATTTTCATCATTTGTTTCACGGCATATTCCAAATGCTCTAATCCAAATAATAAAAATATTTCATAAGCTTTAGTCAAACCAAATGATAAAAGTACCCTCACTTGAGTTGCAGAATATGAAGAATTTAGACAAATTTTAGAACATTCATTTGAGGAAGTACTTGCGTTAAATGAATCTTGACTTCTTGTAAAGTACGCATGTAGACAAAAGATGTCGG